CCCGGGTCCCCAGGCCCCCGGCCCCGCCGCTTCCGGGCGAGCCGCGCTGAGGTGAGAACGAGCCCGGCCCCTCTAAAGCGCCGGCGCTTGTTCTGCCGCAACTTGGGCTGAGCTCAGGAGGTTGCGGTTTCTCCCTCTCCCCCCTCCCCTTCACCCCGACATTCGGCTCTTGAAGCATCACCACCCACGTCATTACTAAACTGGAGTAGTTCAGTGTTTTCTCATCCGTAATTTCCTCTTCCCAGATTTTTTTTCCGTGTGCGCAGATGACTTTTTCTTGTGGACAGAAAAGTTGACTGAGGCCTAAGTCCGGAGGTGCTTCGATTACCTGGGGCGGGGGGCGGGGGCGGTGAGAGAGCAGGTTCAGAGCTGATGTTCCCCGGCTCCCGGGCGTCCTCAGCGGGGCGACCTGTGGGCTGGCTGCTGTGCGGACTCTGCCTTCCAGAAAATCCGGTCGCTCTGTTCCTCTGGCTCTGCCGGGCCCCCGCCCTCTGCGTTCCGGTGCCCCCGACCCTTCTTCCTAGGCGGTGGGATGGTCTGTGCCTTTCGAGTCAGCGGAAGGTACCAGATTCCAGCTCTTGCTTGGGCTGTATTCCTGTTAGACACAGGGTTAAGGATTTAATGATCTGGTATTGCTGGTTTAAAGAGAAGAAAGAACTTCCTTTAAAAAGCCCTCAGTGAAGACAGTGCCTCTAACACAGGTCTTTGCAGTGGTCTTGGATCAGAGATTAGTTCTGGCCTCCCGTTTCTCTTCCCGCATGTGTGCCGCTCACGCACCCCTCCGCCCGTGTTCAGCCCTCCTGTTGGGTGGGTGTGAACCTCATCTGTCTCAGCGCTGGGGCCAGCAGTGTTGTCGTTCTTCCAGCCGGCGGGTTAGGGTCCAGGCAGCAGAGGTAGCGGTGTGCCTGCTTGACTCCTCACCTGCCCACTGTATTTCGCTGTGTCCCGAGACAGCTTGTGAAGGGACGGGTCTGTGATTTGGGCCTGCGTGCTGAGGTTTTCTGGCAGCAGGGATTGTATTCCTTGTGTGCGGGGGCTGCTTTGAGGGGAAAGAGTGGGGAGCCGTGATCAGATTTGGAAGGAGACCGTCTCCCTTTTGGGTAAATACTTGCATTATGTTCCCATTAGCACTAGAATCCGTCAGTACCCTGACCTGCTTCTTAAATGAGAACAGAACAAAAAGGGGGCTTCCACGAGTTTGAGGGCCTTGCCATCAATTGTGGTCATACCTCAGCTTTCCTTTGGTTCTTTGTACAAGTTTTTCCACTTGAGCTGTTCACTCTCCACCTCTTTTCAGCATTTAATTTGTAGTATCTTCCCATTATAACTCAAAGAACATGTTTAGGAATACAAATCATTGCCTGAGCGTTCAAACTGAATTTCAGGCTTTTCAGCAAAAGCAACCATATTCATAGCATGATTTTTACCTTTCAAAGAAAGTAGTACATTTCTCAATGGTATTGTTACCATAACCATCTTGTATTGTAAATACAGCCACTATCTCTGATGTAGATATGGAGAAGCATCCAGAGTTAAAGTCAGCAAGTATTTATTGTGTACCTACTATGAGCCAGGTACTGTCCTGGCTGAGGGGGCACGGGGAGGGGTCAGTGCTGAAGGTCTTTCACAGAACCGTTGGTGTGGACCAGCAGTTGCCCCATAGAAATACAACGTGAGCTGTATGTGCAATTTAAAATTTTCTAGTGGCCAATTTAAAAAGTGAAAAAAATTAATTTTAATAATTATTTTAATTAACTGAAATATATTGAGAATATTGTCTTTTCAGCATTTAACCAATAGATAAAACTACTCATAGAGTGATTTATATATATATATATATATATATATATATATATATTTTTTTTTTTTTTACTAAGTCTTCAAAGTCTGGTGTGTGTTTTATACTGCAATCACATCTCATTTGGGATTAGCCACATTTTAAGTACTGAATATCCACTGTGGTTAATGCCTACTGTATTACACATCACGGGATTTGTGTGTGTGTGTGTGTGTGTGTATTTTACGGTGAGTGAGTGAGAGAGAGAGACAGACAGAGACGGAGTCTGAGAGAGAGAAGGAACACAAGGTGGTGAGGAGTGGAGGCTCCAGAGGAGAGATGGCAGGTTATTGAAAGTCGGGTGAGTAGATGTGATGGCCTGGCCCAGAAGTGGCCTTCCTTTCAGACCAAGAATCCTACTGGAATAAAGACTTTTAGGCTTAGATCTGAAGAATTGCTCAAAGTTACAAGGTCATTTAGTGGCAAAGTAGATTGCTAGAAGCTAGAAATTAAAAGCCTTAATTAGTTCATTTATTAGTGTGTGATGTGGAACTAGACTAAATATTTTCCTCATCTGTAAAAGAAAGAATGGTTGATTTGCAGACTTAGTGGAATTAGTATAAGGTGCTAGCCATAGAAATCCTTTCCTAAGAACGTTTATAGATAAACATGAACACTTCATTTGCAGGGTATGTGCCCTGAGGTGACCGGGACAGGACTTCTTTCCAGTCACAGAAGTTGGTCATCCTTGGCAAAAGACAGCTCATGAACTAAATGCAGATTCTGTTCTGCCTGGTTTGAATTTAGCAGTTAAAAAAAATACATTTTATGTCCTCATGGAGAATCTTCTCCTCAGTTCGTCCCAGTCTCCTGTGGCAGAACACCGTGTCCATCTCAGGTGCACGCAGCATGCTGCGTAGAGAGTGGATGGGAAGAGGCTCCTGGATTCTGGCCGATTGGAGATGATCAGGAAACAGAGAAGAAAACACAGCAGTCACGATCTGTTGTTTTTGGAGCCTCGTGTCATGTGCTGCAGTTCACAAAAGCCCAGCCTCGCTGTAGCCCTGGGGTCAGTCTGTCTTACTCTTTGTGCGGGGTAGGAGGTGGAGACTCAGACAGAGTAGGCAGCATGGCCAAAGTCCTGACGCTAGAAAGTGGCAGAACCCAGTTCCTCTGGGTCCTGAAGATAGCACAAGTCTTGTCTTCAAGCTAGAGTGCCAGTTCATGCCGGGTGATTCCTAAAGATGCTGAAAAATAACCTGAAAAAGCCCCCCAGAGTCTCAGATTAGTTGTGAACTAGGAAAAGCCGTCACCCCTCTTCCTTCACGCTTGATATTGATGGAGAAGAGAGGAAAGGTCAGACTACTGCAACTGTCTTTTCATTGTTTTCTGTGCAGTTTCCAAATAGAGCCTCTAAACCGGCCAAAATTATAGTCACTGAGGAGCTGATGGTGTGCCAAGGCCTGTTTGAGCCTTTACGGAGTGAAGTGGAGTAACTCGTGGGATCCCCACCCCAACCCCAGGAGGCAGCTGGGGCCATTTCATCCCCACTTCACGGATACCCTGGCCAGAGCCACCCGTCTGGTGGCGGAGCTTGGACTCAAAGCAGGGTGGCTGGCTCTTGGCCTCGTGCAGATGCTCTGCTGTGCTGCTGAACCCAGTCTGGCAAATGTCTTCAGTAGGATTGGGTTAAACTACGCAGGCTCCTGCAAGCAAATGTGTTTCTGTGGGGCCTTTGAAAATTGCTAGTTGAGTCAAAGTTCTCTCAACTGACTCCAAAATCGTTTTGGGGAGGGCCGATTAAAAAAGCCCTGATTATCATCTTATTAATCTTAAGTACTATAATGCCCCATTAAGAACAAAAGTCGAATCTCTCTGGCCAAGGGTTATGTTAGAGAAACGTGCGTGTTTTGATCTTGATCAGCCTGAACTAATGATGCAAACGTGGGTGAAGCATTACCGCTCCAGGACAGGATGTGAGGTCCCAGGGTTGGTTCAGTTTGTCCAGCATCCAGCTGCCCAGCCTGGTGGTCTCTTCCTCACTGCCCTGTGTCCCCTGAAGGCATCCTTCCTGGTGGAAATGGATGCTGCCCCAGTGTTTCATGGGAAACTTGATTATAGCAACTGGAGGCAACGCTTCAATCAGTGCATCACTTTTCCACGAGAAACCCATGGTTGTGCAAGAAAGAGGGGTGGGGCTATCAGAAAGCCTGATTTGGGGATGTCTGCCACTCTGCAACAGCATGAGTGTGATCTTGAACAAGTCACTTAATGTTTCTGAGCATCAGTTTGATCATCGCCCTTGATTCGCAGGGATGGTGGTTTGCTTTTTTGCTGGTCTCCTTATTTGCTCGAACATGAGTATAATGTTACCTCCCCCAGTTACTACCCAGGTTCTTGGGAGAAGCAAATGCAAATGTTTTTAGAAGACATTTTTATAAACTGCGAAGTACAAATATGCACTGCTCTGAGTGTTTTTGGATTTGGCCATCAGTGGTGACAGTGATGACATCTGCCTTGGACATGGTTGACGCCTGTTTGAGGATGACTCTTCCCCTTAGGAAGATACGAGGGTACAGCTGAGAAAGGAGTGTAGCCCGAGAGCCAGGGAAACATGCACCCTGGGCGCAGACGTTCCTTGAGCTCTGCTCTATTGACGTTTAGGGCTGCATCGTTCTTTGTTGGGGGCCCCAGTAGGGGCTTCCTGGGGCTGTGAGGAGCAGCACCCCAGGCCTCCGCCCATGGGATGCCTGTAGCACTCTGCCCGCACTGTGAAAACCAGAAATGGGTCCAGGCGCTGCCAGATGTCCCCTGGAGGGTAAAACCAACCCCTACTGAGAACCTCTGGCCCCGAGTCCTCCACTCAGAATCTCCTGAGGCCTGTGTGATCTGAATGGAGTCATCAGCGAAAGGTGGAAGGAGGCTGGGAAGGTCGAGGAGCCCTATTCTAGGTGGGGCTGGAAGATCAGACATCCTTGCGCTGTGAGGTGCTGTTTCCACAGCGGCAGCTCCTGGCTTGGCTGACTTCATCATTCGTTCATCTGTCCGTTCAGCAGTTAATCACATTGGGTTACTGAGTACCTGCTGTTGTCAAGGCGCTGTGCCAGATCTCGTAGTGGGAAATAAACGTGAAAGACAGGAAGACCCTGCCACCCAGCTTGGTTCCGGGCAGCCTGCAGGAGTGTCCTCTCCTGGAGGTTAGCCCCTGAGGACTTCGGCGGTGCAGCTGTGGCTCTGGGGCTGATGGACAGATGGTGCTGTGCTGGTGGTTTCTGTCTTCTCTACACCACCTCCTGAATGTTTTCCATTCTCAATAGTGCAGTTTTATTTCATGCTAAAGAAACAGATGCTTAAGGCAATGCTCTGAGTGCACACAGGAGTATCCTCAGATTCTTCCTTTCATAAATGCAAAGTGGTTAAGTCCATGGCCAGATGGCATTAAGAAAGTCTGTGACATGTAAACCTTCAGGGAATCCACCAAAGTCTCCCCTCGCCACTGGCTCTGAAACCCAGAAAATCCTCTCTGACCCGCGAAGAGTTAAGATCCTCCACCCTATGACCCTGTGCTGCTACTTAATCAGGAATTTTATCTTACATCTGTTTGGGTGGTGCTCTCAGATTCCATAGCTTCCTGCAGTACTAAAGGAATGTTTAAAAAATAAACTCAGAACATCTCCTGTCTTAGAAGCAGTGTTGTTTTGTGCCCAAGTGCTGTTTGTGGCTAAGGACTTGACTTTGTCCATTTATCTGTGGTCAGTGTGGGTGCGGTGCGGGTGTGAGGGCA